CTCTCTCTCTCTCTCTCTCTCTCTCTCTCTCTCTCTCTCTCTCTCTCTCTCTCCCTCTCTCTCTCTCCAATTATTAGCAAATTTAAGATATTGATTAATTTATTAATGTAATTAATAATCATTTAAATAATATAAGTAAATTTGCTTGTTTGCTTTATTTTTACATATTTCTTCGCATATTACGAGCCATATTAATATTTACTTATTTTTTAATCTGTATTATCGATAAGTGGTCTGTATTCTGGTCTTGCACTAGACTGCTCTAGAACTCTCTTTTTCGCTTTCGACAAATATCAAACATACTATCTCACTTTAAGTTCTAAAAGTGTACACTAGTCCAACTACAAGTGACTACTAGTTCAATTTCACCAATGAGGACAAAGAAATTTTGGTTCCTTTTGTTCTGATTGGTCAAATTTCAATCTTCAATCTTTTTCTTCAATGCATAGTCTTGATTCCGGCCGATTTCTTGCAGCAAATGTGATTAATTTTTATCTTTGGGTTTTGGCCAATTATATTTGTTTAGTGAGCGATTGTGGTATTGAATACGTCGTTAACCAATAGAAAAACGTACCTCCTAGAAATTTTTTATCACACTTTAACCCGTATTTTAACCTTTCTTTTCGCTTGACAGCGAAAAAATCATTTAATGTTTCTAGAATTTTAGGTTATGTTGAATTAGAATTAGGTTATGTTAGGTTCTATGGTACGGGATTAACGATTACGTTTTTACATATTATAAATTATAAAATAATACAATTCCAAGTGCGCGTAAACATGTTGTTATTAAAACGTGGATGTGAGGTGAACTTCACACAAAGTTTGCCGAAAACGCTGAGGTTTCTCGCAACGTATTCAAGAGCCTCGGATCTAAATGAACAGGAACGTTGGTATCGGTTATGCATTGCAATTTGTTGTGTTAGAAACGAAAGATAAGTGTACTTGTCTCTATTTTCAGAATTTCGAGTACTAGAACTTTACCCGCAGAAAAAGAATTTCATGCAGGAGAAGCGAAAAGCACAACATATAAATGTCCCACCACCCAGGACAAAGGAGATGCCTGTCGACCAGGACTGGCCATCGGTCTGGCCAGGTGCACGAACCTTTCATCCTGCTTCTGTACCCCTTCCGTTACGCCAAGGGTACCGGGAAAAAGATGTATCACCCAATAAATATGCCAATACCGAACTAATGAAAATACCAAATTTCTTACATCTTACACCACCGGCGATACGGAGGCATTGTGAAGCGTTGAAACAGTTCTGTACAGAGTGGCCTGCCGGTTTAGAAACAGAGGAGAAATGCATTAAACATTTCCCCGTCGAGATCATTACATCTGATTATTGCTACTCTTCGCCCACAATAAGAGATCCACTCGCTAGGATCGTAAATCTACGAGTAAGGATGTCTTCCCTTCATTTAGATACTCATGCCAAAGATAAGCTGCTGCGATTACTGGGAAATAAATACAATCCAGACACAGATATAATAACAATTACAGCTGATAGATGTCCAATCAAAAAGCAAAACTTGGAATATGTACGGTATCTACTTACAGCAGTTTATCACGAATCTTGGGTAAGTAATTGCTGAACTACATAAGTACATCAAATTACTTCCATCATATATAATTCACAAATTTAGCTAGTAAAGTCTCAAGAGTAATGGCTGTTCTACAATGTGCTTTTTGTTTCCTGTTTCTTGCTGTTTGTCTCTTGCCTTCTTGATCAAAAAGGCAAGAGACAGAGACAAACAGCAACAGGAAACAAAAAGCACATTGTAGAATAGCCATAAAACTTGAGACAATTGAAAAACAGGCAACAGGAACAGAATTACAAATTTCAATTCGTCAGACACCATATATTCTGATATAAATGGTTTCTAATAGGTTGAAATCTATTATTTTCTGTACCTATTACCAGTGTTTTTGAATTGTGTCTTAAGCTTGATTTGAAATCTTGTTTACAGAGGGTAGAACCGTGGGAAGCCGAAAAATCAGAGGCAGACATGGAGTATTATGATTGGGACACCAGCCCGAGTCGTACAAACCTAGTAACGCTGTACAAATGGCCGGAACCACCGACGGATTATGATTACGAGACCATTCCGCACGCAACGGAATACAAAATTGCCGTTTCAGATCTTATAAACAACGGCGAAGATCAGTACTCGGTCAATAAGTACAAGGAAGCTGTTAAAAATTTGTTAAACCTCAAGTGCGATAATAAAGGTTGAATTTTGAGTAAAATTGTACTGTATCACGAAAAGCTAAATTAATTTTAACTAGCATTATCTATTTCTCCGTAATTTCCGTAAGCGGTGTCCTATTTGAAAGATCAATTTGCCGTGTATAATTTTACGCTCGTTACCTATCAAGACTAATATCAACATAGCAAGATCGAAATTGCGCTATTCATAACAATACTCGAATTTACTATAATTTGAATAAGACGCGAACAACTAGAGCGTACGAAGAGTCAACCAGAAACGCTCGTTGTTATCTCTTTCTCGGTATTTATATATTTGTCGAACACAATCGAGTCTTCATATCTTTGAAATGTGAAGCAGAAATTTTAACAACATATCGTGAACATTAGCGATTTTTTTTGCGCTTTATAACGATAGTGTCGTTCTTAATCCGTTGAGGATCTTATCCCATGTAACACGCATAATATAAAAAATAACAAAAATTTAAATAGCCACCTGAACATAAAATGTTGAAGATTACATTGCTTCTTGGTGCGTTCGACGTTATTCGATGCGAGATGCAGACAACACGATTAGAAAGGACTGTAACCGAAACACCATCTTGTAATAATCCGTCCCAGTGTTATTTACCGGATACATACAAGACAGAGCTGAAGAGCATATCGTTTCTACCTTATCTGAATTCTCCGAATATACGCAAACAATCGATTCAACGCAGTTATTATGGTGGGTTTGGCTCGTCCGCACCGGCTTACTACCAGTAAGTTTTTCTTGAAATAATCGTATCAAATCCTCTTCCCTCGTTGCAAAGATAGTTTGTCGATAGTAAAGTGTATTTTAGCGCTTTTGATCCCATCAGCGTATTAGCGTCATTGGCGTTCTTAGCATTTTTGTTGCAATCATTTGCCACGCTTTTTGAACGTTCGAGATCGATCTTACCGACGGTAATTAGTGGCAGACAGTCGGCCGTAAACTTGAGAGTTCCAGAGGTTCCAAAACATGTGTCACATGCCTTGCGGGAATACGTGAGTATTCCAAGTTGAATGATAGCTGAATAACAAAAATATAATACATTGAACGTGATGTTTTTTTTAGGAAAATCTCAATGACGATTTGAAGAAGTAATTGATAATAACTTTTTGTAATATTTATCGTTTTTCGAGCGATTTTTATAAATTTACATAAATAATTTATTTTTTTCTTACGGATACATCAACATATCGATATTCTCCACACAGCAAAAACTTGTTGTCAAGATATATAAAGTAATTTAATTTGTATTTTTACTTGTGTGATGTAAATCTTTAAATATAAGTTTAGTATACAAAGCATTTTAATAGTAAAAATGCACCCTCTCTCTCTTTTTCTTTCTTTGACGGCAGATTATATAAAGCTTTGTATTAATTATATAATATACTTTTCGAAAACAATAACGAAATGTAGATCACAATTGTTGAGTATCTTGCTTTATCTGTGCCGTCAGTGTTGAATAAAAGAAATCATATATATATATATAAATGCATGATATAGTTCACAAATTATAAAATTTGTCATTTTATTTTCTAAACATATACTTACAAAAAAAGAGAGAGAGACATTGCTTGCACTATATATATTTTTTTCTGCTAAATTAAGCTAAAAAAAATATAGGTAACATTAAAAGAAGTCATTTTATTAGAATACTCGACTTTACTCTTTAAGCATGTAGTCAATATTATCTACTATTTAAAATCTTGCATCTATGTAAAAAAGTCTTCTTAAAAGTCTTATTACTTAACGCAATATTTGTAAGATCACCATCTCTTCAATCTTGCGTCCAGGTACTAAATTTTTGTCTAATATTTACCATGGAACTCTAGTAGATGGTGGAGCAGGAGTGGATCTATAATATAAACAGGAAATAATATACATATGATACATACTTAACATTTTGATAAAGATATCGGAAAAGATTTAGATAATACTAGATATTCTCTTTGATACTTACTTTTTCCCAACAGTTGGTTTTTGATACGGATGGGTTGTCGTAAGACCGCGCCTCTCTTTGTTACGTATTGCCTTGAATGCCACGTCTGTCTTTTCCTCGGTATTATTGTGTTGGGAAAGAGATGACAAAGTAGCAGTATTGCTCTTTAATTTATTTAGAATGGCAACACTTTTTGCACTCATTTGTATAGGCCTCTGCAGTTTGTTCTCCTTGTCTCGACCAGTATTCTGTACTTTGTTATTCATTACTAGCTTTTTCGTCTGTTTGGAGGGTGTACTGCTGTTTTCACCGTTTTTGTCAGATAATACACGTTTCCTGATTATGTTCTTTGCATCAGGTCCTGGAAATGCTTGCACTGATTCATCTTTCAGCAAGAATTCATTTTCGTGACTTCCGTTGCTTAAATTACTTCCATTGCTTAAATTACAAATATTGCTGTCGATATTGTTCTCACTCGTAGCAGCATTGAAGGTACAGTTTAAAGTATTTGTATTGTGTTTTTCATCGTCCATCTGCGCGATTGCTGGCATTGAATTATTTAATGGATCTATTCCACCTGTACTCAAACACGTAAACATGTTGAAATCATCCACTTTATTTACCTCATCTGTATCAGACCATTTGATATTTCGAAAACCTTCGAGCAACTTTATTAATTCCTTAAATTCTCCTTGCATTTTCTCGGTCATTGTACCGAAACCTTTCACCATATTATAATAATTCTGTAACGTATTACTCATGCTCTTTGTTATCGTGTTAATCGATTGCCTCTCACTTTGCAGGACACTGCTGAGTTTCTTCATGTGCTGTTGCATACTGGGAATCCAGCATTTCTCGATCTTAAAAATTTCCAAAGACAGTTTATTCTGCAGATTCTCATCGAGAGACTCAGCTTTGGTCTCTTGTACTGCTGTTTCGATCGAACATAATTCCTGCCATGCCTCTTGCATTTGCGCTTTAAGGGCCTCTCGCTGCCGCTGGAAATGTTGTAAAGACTTATTAACGCGCAACTTTCCGCTAACATTTCGTTCTTCCTGTGACAAGATATCGCTGGCTGCCGTTAGATTGTGTAATCTCTCATCCGCGTCTTTCTTATAGAGTATCCTGCAAGCCAAAATTTTATCAGCGCTCTCCAAACTCAGTATCTTCTCTGTCAAATCCTTCTTCTTCTCGTGCAATTTTATCAGCTTGTTGTACGCATCCAACATGACGATAGTCGGTTTGCTCCTAATCGGTTGCGGTGTTTCATTCTCATAAGCTGCCAATTTCGATTTCAAAATATCTATTTCCTTCTTCTGTTCCTCCACTATCTTGATGTAGCCAGCAACATGTGTTTCACAAGATACATTCTTCTTAGCATACGATTTGATTTTCTTTGCTCGATTCGCGTATCTTAAAGTATTATGTGTATCTTCATAAGTAATGCTACCAGGGGCGATATTAGCTATCATAACAGTGTGGCAATTACCGCCAAGTGAATCCTTTAATAGCCTCGTAAGTTTAGAGTCTCTATATGGAATATACTTTATACCATCTGCTAGATTATTTATACAATTCCCAAGAGCCAATAAGGATTTATTGATGTTAGCGCCTTCCTTAAACCTCACACCTTTACATCCAGTAGCCGAAGCTCTTTCGGATCCTGCCAAATCGATCATGGACAGTTTGACTCGCTGCACCTGACTGTCTAGCTTGTTGATTATCTTGATGTATACCTGGAAAACTGCATGACTTCTACTGCTTTCCTTGTTTGCATCCGTCGGATGCTGAGTGCGATTCTTATTACCCTCTGCCAACAGTGACAGCAATTCCTCAGCGTTTTGGATAGCGATAGGTTCTAATCCAGCGACTATGACTCCACACCTACCATCTTCCCTCAGGTGCAATTGGCCTGTCTTGTGCAACAAATCTTGTACGTTCTCGTTATATATTTCCAGATAAGACACACCCAAGGTAAATTCACGATGTTTGCTCTGATTCTCAATCTCAGAAAAGAGTTGTGCCACAGTGTGATACGTAATACCAGGATCTTCTCTGTTACCCAGCATAGTATGAGTTTTTCCAGCACCGGTGGCACCGTAGGCAAATACAGAGCAATTGTAGCCATCCAGGAGGTTGTTGATCAACTTCTTGGTGCTTCCCTCGAACACGTTGGTATTAGTGGATGTCGAATCGAAAACTTTGTCAAAGATAAATTGTAGTTGCTTGTTCTGTTTCTTTAGCATGTCCCTACCCTTCTGCGCTACATTGTGAAAGAAGAAGGGCGTCTCGTGTTCCTTCGGGTCGAAGATCAACATTTTGTCATCGACAACCTCGATAATCGTTCTGCTGTTATCCTGCAGCTCGCGTTCGTTAGGCGGACGAACTCGAACGATCACCTTAATTGATATTTCGGAGGTATCCTCCGTTTTCACCGTGGAACCGCTTGTGCTCGGCTTGACCGATCCGCCGGCCAACTGCTTTTTGAGCCCCACTTTCTTGGCTTTGGACGGCGAAAACGCCTTGCCCAGATCCTTTTTGTTGAAAACCATCATTAGTAAACTGCAACCGCTCGAGTTTGACTAATTTGCGATCCTTACAGTACCATAGCGCGTAATTTCAGGGAGCAAAGGAACAGACGTCGCTCACGTTGCTCTTCTCACATCGTGACATCGCGCGACACCACTGCCTCGAAAATTTTTAGGTGTTTCGTCTATCGTTAATTACACAACCGTTACTCTACGTACGTTGAGCTCGCTCGGTCGGAGGCAAGTTCTTTTCGTCGCAAAGGTGGAAGAAAACCGTGTCAAAAAATACAGAACAAACGAATAAACGCTCGTCACCAAAGAACGCGGAGAGTCGTTTGGCCAGTTTGGCGTTACGTTGAGTTTTGAATTTTAAACGCTGACAATCGAACGCAGGCGCACAAATCGCCAAACGATCAAAATTACTAGAGGAAATGACACCGCGGATTTCCTCAGGTTCGGTTTCCAACAACTCGTGATTACGGATTACATCCACTGGAAAACTAGTGCAACATCTGTACACACTGAGTGCAATTGATTAATAAATGAATTCACGTATTTTTAGTGTTAATAAACAACGACAATCCCATAACTTTAAAAGGATAAAATTATTTATTAACACTGAAAATATGTAAACCGATTTGCATTCAATTGCATCAGTGTTGTACTAGTTTTCCTAGCAGAAAGCGCTGAGTGCAAAAAGTGCAAGCTGTGCGAATAATAAATCTATTGGTCTAGATTGGTTTAGATTGTTTGCGCGTGATCGCGTGGTTCTGTACGTTCATTGTTGTTCATTGAGCTCATTCTCTTATGACGTCTTGGAGCGTCAGGTGCTTCGAAGATTACACGTGTTTACGTTAGTTTCTGCACGCTGCGACTTGCATGAAATAACGTAAAGCGACAACTTCAACAACGCGTAGATCCGAGTCGATGTTTTGTTTCGCGAGGTTTAGGCACGTCGATTAACTCTAAAAAAAAGAGAATTGTGTCTGTATTACGTAAATCGCAATATATATAAGGTATACAGAGTAAAGTATATCTTCGCACAGCACATCAAACTTAAGAACGCTGTCGGTCGCACGTATTTATTTTGAGTGTCTTTAACCTATAAGAGGTCGAAGATGTGCTGGAAAAGCGGGGGCGAAGAGGAATATTAGCACGAGGAACGGTGCCGGAGCGCGGCGATATTTCGAGATAGGATGGTCTTGCAAAAAATCAGCTATGATTTCGTTAAAGGTTTCCGGCATGTGCATGCTAGAACAAGCGAGTCTTGTGGGAACAAGAGCTTTCAGCGATTGTATATGGCATTACCACGGCTCACGCCGCAAGAGGTACATTTTGATTTAATTTTTAATACACACGATAATTTTCTGCTCTTTTATTGCCCACGATGAGTCATTTGTGTCCTGGATTAATTTTCATTGCTTTTACAAGTATACAAAAATTATTATGTTTTTCTTACATAAACTTTAACATTTGTGAAGAAAATATTTATAAAGTTATATATTTAAAAAAAGAAAGAATAGAGATAATTATTATTTATTGATAATTATTTCACCAGGTGCTTTTAGCATTTTAAAGAAAAGATATATACAGGACACAAGTGACTTAATTGTGGATGTTTTCCAGTAAGTAACATAATGTACCTTCCAA